AGACTACTGAAATCATATCTGTTTTCTGACCACAGTAAAGGTAAGCTAGAAATCAATGCAATAAATAACAATCCCCAGTTATTTGGCAATTAAGTAATATCCTTCTAAATAACTCACAGGTGAAAGGAGAAACCACACTGAACATTATAAAATAATTTGGATGACAGTGAAAATGCTACATATCAAAATCTGTGGGATGAAGCTAAAAGCTGTTCTTGGAAGGAAATTTACAGAATTAAATGAATATATTTGAAAAAAAGAAAACCTAAAGATCAATGATCTAAGCATACCTCTCTATAAATTAGCAAAAGAACAAATCAAGCCTAGAGACTGTGGTAGGAAGGAAATAATAAAAGAGCAGGAATTGATGAAATACAAAGCAAATGTATAATAGAGAAAAACATTTTTAAAGTCAATTCTTCATAAGAACTCTCATTCATTGGTGTTGAGAATGCAAAATGGTACAGCCACTTTGGAAAACAATTTAGCAGTTTCTTACAGAACTAAACATACTCTTACCATGTGATCCAGCATTTGCACCCCTTGGTATTTACCCAAAGGAGTTGAAATCTTCTGTCCACACAGCAGCCTATTCGTAGAGGTTTTAGCAGCCTTATTCCTGATTCCCAAGACTTGGAAGCAACCGGATCTCCTTGAGTAGGCGAGTGGATAAACTGTGGCACACCCAGACAGTGGCACGTCAGTCAGTGCTAGAAATGCATCTGTCAGGCTGTAAGGAGATATGGAGGGACTGTAAATGCACGTTACTAAGTGACAGAAGCCAATCTGAAATGGCTGCATACAGCGTGATTCCAAGTATGTGACATTCTGGAAAAAGCAGAACTGTGGAGACAGTAAAAAGATCAGTGGGTGCCAGGGGCTATGGGGAGGGTTTTCAGGGCAGGGGGGCTGCTCTGTAGGGTGCTCTCGTGATGGCACATTGTCCAGACACAGCACCGAGCATGTGAGCTCTGCTGGCACCTGTGGACTTTGGTGGTTGTGGCAGGTCTGCTGTCTGGGGCGGGGGCAGGTAGAGGGCGTGTGGGAAATCTTTGCCTTCTCTCAGGTTTGCCGTAAGCCTAAAAGTGCTCCTAGAATATCAGATCTTTAAAAAAAAGTTGATTCTTTGAAAAGATGAATAAATCAATAAACCTGTAACAAAATTGATTAGGAAAAGGAGAAGGCATAAATTGCTGGTCTAAGGAATGAAAAGAGAGACATCCTCATAGAAAATTTAGACATTAAAGAGATAGGAAAATATACCAATGCATTTGAAATTTTGGATCAAATAAACATATTCCTTGAAAAACACAATCTAATGAGACTGAATGTGAAGAAATAGAAAACCTGATTGGTTCTGTGTCTACTAAAGACATCGAATCCGAAATGGAAACTCATCCCACAGGAAACCTCAAGGCCAGAGGCCTCGACATCTCAGGAGGAAGCAGCGTCCCTGTTATGCTAATCCTTCTAGAGAACAGAACAAGAAAGAAGCTTTACAGCTTTTTTATGAGCCCAGCAAAATCTTGATACCAAAACCTAACAAAGGCATCACAAGAAATAAAAATTTAGGTCATTCTGTTTCATGAAAATAAATTCAAACCTTTCAAACAAAGTATTAACAGAGCAAATCTAGCAATATATGAAACTGATAAGACACGATGACTAGTTGGGTTTATTTTTGGAATGCATGGTTTATTTAACATTTGAAAACCATTGTCATTCAGTTTAGTAGCAATGCAAAAAAAGCATATGTTATGTTAATGGATGCTGAAAATTTTGATTAAACCCAGTATCCATTCATGCTGAAAACTCTCAGCAAACTCTAGGACTCAAGGGAACTACCTTAATCTAATAGAGAATATCTGCAAAAAACATACTTAGTAGTGAAATATTGAAAGTTTTTTCTCTTTAGAGTGAATCAGGGAGCTTTCTTCCCCAGTTCTGTTACATTAGAGAGCCTTGCCAATGGAATAAATCAGAAGAAAGAAATACAAAGCACAGGATTTGAAAGAAAGAAAGAAACCTATTACGATGGGCAGATGACATAATTGTGTGGAAAATCCAGAAGAATCTACAGACCAGCAATTAGAATTAATAAGCAGATTTAAAAGTATCGAAATACAAAGTCAACATATAAAAACAAAATGTATAAGACCATAACGTAAAAGTAACTCCCAAATTTTTAATTTTACACTAACATCAAAGAAAAACATGAACTAATTAGTAAAAAGCAAAAGTTGTACAAAGTCTCTGCATTGTAAGCCACAAAACAGTACTGAAGGACATTAAAGGAGACCTACGTGAATGGAGAGAGGTGCTGCGTTCACGAGGCAAAAGAAGACTCAGTATCTGAAGATGTCAGTGGTCCTGAGACTTACCTTACACCGTCAGGGCAATCCCAGCAGCATCCAGCATCAGTGCTGGGGAAGGGAGCAGCAAGAGGGAAGGAACTTGCGCAACACGGACAGACCTCCCAAAGCCAGAGACAGAAGTAAATACACTGTCTGATTCATTTTTACAGAAAGAAAAGCAAGTCCTGCCTGGGGATTGAGAAGTTAGTGCCTGGCTTTGCGGGCAGCAGACAGCGTGAGGAGCGGGCAGAGGAGTCTTTGTTCTTTAATCTGGTGTTGACCACACTGTTGGTTTGTGAACACTCAAGTGGTACACACAGGATTTGTGCTTTGGGGCAATGATATACTTTATTTAAAATTTACTTCATAACAGACAAGCAGTTGTGAAGAGATGAACAGAAAGTGATTCCCTTTCAGAAAACTCTACCAAGTCGGAGAATTGCCCCCAGCATCCTCTGAGAAAACATATAGCATCTGTGTTAACGCAGATTGTCCGCTAGTTCAGCTTACACCAACTGAGCAGTCACTGTGGAGTGTGCTGAGCAGGGAACCAGGTTGCAGGTGTAGATAAGGAGCGTCTACAGGGACGGTGCCAACAGCAGCTCTGAGCACCTGCCATCTGTGAGGAGGGTGGGACTTGGGGCGGGCTGGGGCTGGGCTGGGCGGAGTGGGCAAGTGGTAGTTGTAGTTTGCAAAGAGAAAATGGCATTCGAGACGAGAGCTGTACAGCAAAACTCTCCATAAAAAGGGAAAAGTTCTGTGTCTGTGCTGACCAGTACGCTGGCCGCTCAACACGTGTGGCTACTGAGTACTTGAAACGTGGCAAGGGCATCTGAGAAGCTGAATGTTTCATTGACTCAATTAGAATTCAGATCCCATATGTGGCTCCCGTGTTGACCAGTGGGTGCTGGAGCAACAGTACAGGCTGTGCAGAAGTGCCAGGGCTCAGCACGTCTGAGAAGCGGCAGGATGGCAACAAGGTGCTTTGTGATGAGACTGAAAGTAAGACGGGAGCAGAGCTGGTCACTGGAGCTGCTGTAGGAAATAGCTTCTCTCCAACGTGCCCTTTTAGGCAGGACCAGCTCAGCCCTACCTGCTTGTTTAGTTTTTGTTCTTTCTAAAGAATGAGTATCTTTTAGGATTTTTTTTAGAATATGCTATACAACGAAAACATTTTGATTAAAGCGTAGATTAATTCTGAGATACTCCTATATTTGGAGTTGGAGGTAATAAAATCTCTAAGATAATCTCAGTTCATGATGTTTCTTAAAATGATTATCAAGCTTCTTTTATTTTAATAAGGAAGCCTTACTCATAAAGGGGCTAAAACATCTGTCACTTTTTCCCTAATTTATTTCAGTTAAAATAGCTCTTGGAGGCCTGGCGTGGTGGCTCACGCCTGTAATCCTAGCACTTTGGGAGGCCGAGGCGGGCGGATTGCTCGAGGTCAGGAGTTCGAAACCAGCCTGAGCAAGAGCGAGACCCCGTCTCTACTATAAATAGAAATTAATTGGCCAACTAATATATATATAGAAAAAATTGGCCGGGCATGGTGGTGCATGCCTGTAGTCCCAGCTACTCGGGAGGCTGAGGCAGGAGGATTGCTTGAGCCCCGGAGTTTGAGGTTGCTGTGAGCTAGGCTGACACCACGGCACTCACTCTAGCTTGGGCAACAAAGTGAGACTCTATCTCCAAAAAAAAAAAAAATAGCTCTTGGTTAACTTGAGCATCATAAACCAGAAAATGACTGATTCAGTTGCACTCACCCTGTTCAGGGAATCACCTGGATTCTTACTAGATGTCACTGCGCTTTGCGAGAGGCCAGTGCGGCCAGGAGTTCCAGAAACAGTCTCGTGCAGTTCCTTGCTGAACGTGGGAAGTCTCTGTAACCTTAGGGCTGCCTCTCCATCCAGAAACAGTGAGAGTGCTGGACGCTGAGGCAGATGTGACAATGAGAAGAAATACTTCATATTAGTATGACATTCTTAACTTGTAAAAATTATCAGCCTATTGACCCAATGGGATACATAAGCCATTTTATTCTTAAATAAGTATTCATTTAAAATGAGATTTTTAACAATTAATACTCATGATTAGAACAGTTAAGCATGACTTTTTAAAATACAGTGAAATCATCATTATATACAACGATACTCTCCTGACTTCCCTTCCCGTCCCTTTGCCTTTGAAGAAGAATCATTATATACAACGATACTCTCCTGACTTCCCTTCCCGTCCCTTTGCCTTTGAAGAAGGTTTTTAGAAGAGCACAAACCAAGGAGTGCATGATCTTGTGGGTGTTGTCCTAGTGGACCACAGTGTTGACGGGCTAAAGGGACCTTCTGTCCACAGCCCAGAGGGTCCTGGGGCAAGAGACACTGCGTGCCCATGTGCTTGGGGCGGGCCCGAGTGAACGTGGTGGGCGGGTTTCAGGCGATGAGTGAAGAGGAGCTCAGTGAAGAGGGGCCCCTCGAATTCCCCACTGCACCGTTCCCAAGGCCTCCCGTAATCTGCAGAGCTCCTGACACTTGGCTTTGTTGGAGACGGCCACGGTCCTGTTGACCAGTCTCTGAGCGGAGTTAAGATCGTGTTGCTGACTCACACGGTGTGTGACTCCTGTTCACACTGTCTGTGTGTCTCCCACAGCCCGATTATGTCAACTCCAGAGCCGTGCAGCTGGGCTCCCTCCTGGTCCGCGGCCTCACCATGCTGGTCCTGGTCAACAGTGCCTGTGGCTGCCCCTGGAATACGAGCGAGTTCATGCCCTGGAACGTGTTTGACGGGAAGCTTTTCCATCAGAAGTACCTGCAGTCTGAAAAGGGATACAGTGTGGAAGCGCTTTTAGAACAAAATGTGAGTTCACAGACGTGCTCGGCACAGACAGCCCTGTAGCCCCCAGCTTCAAAAATGTACACAGGTAACATTAAGACTGCTATTAAATTTCTCAAATTACTATTCTCCAGGTACAGGATTGTATTAGTCCATAAGACCAGAAATACGTGATTGGAAGCCTTAGGCTTCAATGCCAGAATATCTAGTGCAGGCTGAGCACCTCTTATCCAAAGTGCTTTGGGCCAGAAGTGTTTTGGACTTTGCTTCAGATTTTGGAAAATTTGCATAAACAGTTAACCCTGAGCAGCACGGGGGTTAGGCATACCAACCCCTTTTGTGCAGTTGAAAATCCTTGTGTCACCTTTGACTCCCCAAACCTTAACTGACAGCCTACTGTTGACTAGAAGCCTCACTGATAATATAAACAGTCGGTTAACATGCTTTGAGCATGTATTATACATACTATACTCTTACAATAAAGTTAGCTAGAGAAAAGAAAATCCTCAGTAGGAGGACATGTATTTACTACTCATTATGTGGAAGTGGGTCATCCACTCTAAAAGTCTTCATCCTCATTGTCTTCACGTGGAGTGAGCTGAGGGGGAGGAAGGGGGAAGAGGAAGGGTTGGACTCCCTGCTGCGGGTGGCAGATGTGGAAGGAAATCCACATGTAAGTGGACTCATCAGTTCAAACCCGTGTGTTCAAGGGTCAGCTGTACCTGCATGATGAGAGAGCTTGGGGATGCCACCCAGGGTTAAACCCACAGTTTCTTTGTGTTCCATAGACACCTTAGCCTGAAGGGAATTTTCTACAGTATTTTCAATAATTTTGTGCATGAAATAAAGTTTTGACTGTGCGTACAACCCATCACATGAGGTCAGGTATGGAATTTTCCACTAGTGAATTTATATCAGTGGTCTACAATTTTCAGATTTTGGATTTTTAGATTAGGGGTGCTAACCTGAAGCTTTCGCCAAAACACTTAACAAGGGTTTGAAACCCCAACACTCCTGCATGGGCAGGGTGAGTAGCACCCAGCTCAGCCTAGGACGTTCTTAGTTTTTGAGTGCTTTCGCCCCTAGGGAGGAGAGCGAGTGCTCCCACAAACAGGAGACTGGCCTGGGGGGAGAGTTAGGACCTACTACTGGGAAAATCCCAAAGGCTGCCAGTGGAGCTGGGACGCCAGCTGCTGCTCCAGCTCCGTAAATACATTGCTGCATGATTCCTGGAAGGTTTCCACATGAGGCCTCCAGCCAAGCCCATTTGCAGTGTGTTTTAGTTCACATCCCTGTGTGGCAAGAGAGCACCCTGGCCTGTCAGGTCCAGCACTCAGAGCTTCCATCCCGGACAGAACACGTTTGGTGATGTGTCGCCATCACTGGTTCTCACCAGGAAGAAAGTTCCAGAGTGTCCTAGGACTGTCATTTGGGAACTTAGAAAGAAGCAGCCCGCGTTACGTACAGAAAGTAAAAAGAATAAGAGGGATAATATTCTGCAGGTTTGCGTATTCCTGTAGACAAGGTGGGCATGGCCTTGTCGGGCTGTGGACTGTCAGTCAGTAGTAGACAGTCGGCAATAAACAGTTGTCAGCGGAGATCACCACCTTTCTGTGTTTGATCTCTTGACCAAATACGAAGTGATGACAGGATCATACTGGTAGTTAAAATATTAAAGATTATGGAGTAGAGTATCCAGCAGTAAAACAGGGTGCTAGAAGGAGAGATCGGATGGACCATTTTTCAGTCTTCTGCTGTTTTTGTGATGTGGCATTTCCATTGAATGTGTTCTCACAACTAAGAATTGAAATAATAAGATATATTAAATGCGTAGGGTTTTTTAGATAAGATTGTATGGTAATTGCCTAAATTGTCACAGTGGGGCTTGAGGATTCTTTCTTGGAAATGACATTTACCCTACAGAAGACAGAAGCCAGCATAGCTGCTTGATGTGACTTTTCTAGGCAGTTCAGGAGGATATCAGTGGTTAAGGCCCTCTGTGAGGCGATCCTCTTTGAGGGACACGGTGCAGCCTCCACACGCAGGGCCATGTACCGCAGGCTCCCCCACGCCACAACTGCCCCTGCTCTGTGCCGTCTGGACCCTGCGCGTCTCATTTGCATCTGCTCTGTTTGCAGAGATCTCGGCTCACCAAATTCCACAACCTGAAAGCAGTCGTCTGCAAGGCCTGCGTGAAGGAGAACAGACGCATCGTGGCCCGGGCGCACTGGGGCACACACCATGCAGGTGGGCGGGCGCTTTGCTCATGAGAGTGTGAACATTCTGGGGGCCCCACAACATAGTCCTCGATTGCTTCCTGAGTTTTCTTGGTTAAAGAATTCCAAGAAAAGGCTGATGAAATTGGAAGAAAAGAATTCTGGTTTGAATTCTGGTCCCATCAGGAAAAAAATTCTCAGAATGGATTCCCCAAAGTACAGGAGCCACCTGGGTCATGTTTATTTGACAAAAGTTTAGGGTTGTTTTTGTTTTTGTTTTTCTGATAGTAAAAGTATATTCAGAGAATTTAGAGTATAAAGAAAATAATTGAAAAGGAAATATAAATAATCTTTAATTCTGTGCCCTGAAGCTGACAGGCACTGACAGATAAGGCGTGAGTAGCATTTGCAGTGCTTCGTGTCACGGGCACCTCTTGTTCTCTGCAGATGGGCAGCTGCCTTGCCCCTCAGCACCTGGCTGAGGGCCGGGTCAGAGCTGTGTCACTGCAGTTCTTCTTGAGCAGTGGCTGCAGAGTCTCCTCCACACGATGGTCCCCACAGTTCTCCTAGTGCAGTTCTTCTTGAGCAGTGGCTGCAGAGTCTCCACCACACGATGGTCCGCACTTCCCTGACAGTTCTCCTAGTGCGGTTCTTCTTGAGCAGTGACTGCAGGGTCTCCACCACACGATGGTCTGCACTTCCCTGACAGTTCTTCTAGTGCAGTTCTTCTTGAGCAGTGACTGCAGGGTCTCCACCACACGATGGTCTGCACTTCCCTGACAGTTCTTCTAGTGCGGTTCTTCTTGAGCAATGAATGGCTGCAGAGTCTCCATCACGCAGTGGTCCGCACTTCCCTGAAAGTTCTCCTAGTGCGGTTCTTCTTGAGCAATGAATGGCTGCAGAGTCTCCACCATGCAATGGTCCTCTCTTCCTTGACAGTTTTCCTGTTTTGAGCTTTGAAGATATTTCCATTTTTCTCATTACTCCTCATGCTTTTGTGTACATTATTTCCTTAAAATAGAGTATCATAGTTTGCAGTATTATGGACCCAAATGTAATCGACTTCAGGTAAATCATCAGTTAATTCCTTCTCCAGCAGTGATCAAGAGTTTCTGTTTTGTGGTACCCTTGATATTATTTAAAAGTGTGTTTTGGGGGCAGGGGTTGGAGATAGAGTTTTGCTCTGTCAGCCAGGCTGAAGCACAGTGGTGTGTAATCATAGCTCGCTGCAGTCTCAAACTCCTGGGCTCAAGCAAGCCTTCTGCCCCAGCCTCCCGAGTAGCTGGGACTATAGGCGTGCACCACCAAGCCTGGCTAATTTTTTCTATTTTTTATAGAGATTGGGTCTTGCTATGTTGCCCAGGCTGGCTGAAGCAATCTTTCCTCCTCAGCCTCCCAAAGTGCTGGAATTACAGGCATGAACCACTGTGCCCAGCTTGGTTTTTGAAGCTAATTTGATAGATTAATATTGTATCTCATTAATTGGATGCTTCTTTGTTTATCTATGAAGTTGGGCATCTTACTCATTTCCTTATTTCTTTTAATTATTTTCTCATGTCCTCTTCTGGTTCATGTCTGTACCTTTAACTGTAACAGCCCTATTGTTTTTCTTGATGGAATAAGAGAACTTGCCCCAAACTCCTACCTACACAGACCATCTCAAGGAGTCTCAGTTGGTGTCAGCTGTGCACATTTCATTCTCAGTGGCTCTGAGCTGTCAGGGCCACCTTGGGTGTGTCCCAGTCACACCTTTAAAGGAGCACAGTGAGCCAGAGGAAGGCTGCTTTCTCCCCACTTCCCAGTCCTTTTCTCCGTATTTTACCTGTCTCCTACCAACTGTAGGTAAACAGAATGAGACCCCAGAGCAACGTGTATTCATGCAAAATAAATGTACAACATTCTCTCTGCATTGCCTGTTCCCTTAATTGGTTGGCAATTGGTACCCAGAAGTCTGTACTGTACTCACAGTGCTCCAGGGTTCCCACTCCCGATCGAGATTGCCAGTGGGGCTGCAACAGGTGCCTTGGGGGTCCCACTCCCAATAGAGATTGCCAGTGGGGCCGTGACAGGTGCCCTGGGGGTCTGACTCCCGATCGAGATTGCCAGTGGGGCCGTGACAGGTGTCTAAGAAACTTGCAGGAGCTGGATGCAGGCTGTTTGCGTTGGCAACATCACTGTGTTTGCATGTCTAAACTACTCTTTCTGAGCTTCAGAGGGCCTGAGAGTTGTCTGTGTGACAATTTTGTTTTGAGCACTAAAGGTGGCCCACGTGTTCACCTTAGTCTTGCCTGTTTGTTTAATGCAATAGTGCAGTTACTCATAATCTTTACAGAAACTAATTTGACTACTTGGTATACTGTCTTATTATCCCAAGTTAATGAGGAAAACTACATTTTAAGAGATAGGATCATTTACATGACTTGGAAACTGTTCCCTTTTTGTCGCCAGGGTCATTGTGTTCTCTACAAACCCAGCTTCAGGCCAGGCGGGGCAGCCCTCCCTTTGCTGAGGGGACCTTCAGCCCCACACGCCTCCCCCAGCACCAAGCAGGTTCTTAGTGGCAGAGCTTGGGCTGGAGCCTTGGGCCGCTTGGCCCCGGCCCGTGTCTGTGCTGGCACTGTCCTTCACCTCCCGTGCTGGGACAAGGCGGGTGCCACAGTCCTGACTGGGCTGTCGCCTGCTCCCCGGTAGTGGTGTCTGTCCCCAAGCTGACAGCTGTGAGCCCTAGCTCCTCAGGGCACGAGGCCGGTGACTCCACATGTGGGCACAGCACCGGGCTGGCGAGGGACCAAATGTTATACGTGAGCTTGTGCCGGCCCTGAGGGGCCAAGAAATGAGCACGTGTGTGTTCCCTGGCCAGCCAGGATGGGCACGTCATTAGCGCTGTGCACAGGCAGCTCAGAGATGAGGGCAGCCGTCAAGAAGGGCGGGAGCCCCACAGGAGAGTCCATGGGGTTTCCGGCTAGCTCTGGGTAAAAGCTGCAACGGGGGAAGAATCAGTGAAGTTAAGCAGGCACTAGAGAGACATTGGGAGGCTGTTGGATACCAGGCGAGAATCTTGACTTTTTTATCAACTGTAAATTGAGGAACTTGTGAAGGTTTTTGATGTGATGTGATTAGAAGTGAGCTTTTCAGGACAGTGACTCTGCAGACAGCGTAGGGAAACAGCTGAGGAGAACGGCTCGGAGGCTGTGCGGGCCTAAAGGAGGCGGCCAGTCCCAAGGGTGACCCAGCCAGCATGTGCTGGCACAAGGCCCCGTGAGCACCCGGGACACACCCCCTTCACTCGTGATCAAAGGCCCAGGCCGCCTGTGGTCCTCATGCATGGAGCTGCCCCGGCTCCATGTCCACGGCTGGCCCGTGGCATAGGAGGGCATCGCACCGCGTGTGAGGTCACTCACCGGGGAGTGCAGCGCGCAGGGCGGCTCTGCCCAGGGACGCGCCGTGGCAGGGGGGCCTTCTTTCTTGTGGAACACTGTGGAACATTAAGATCTTTGGGAAATCACATCAGAGTTGTACTTAATCAGGCCTTGTGGTAGAGACAAACAGCACAGGCGCCAGGGTCTAGGAATTTATGGAAAAGTTAGAGTTGGAAAGCGTGTTCATGAAGTTTGCGGAGAAGTAGGGAGGTGGAGCCTGGGCTTGGTCACGAAGTCCAGGAACACTGGGGCCTTTGCCCTCAGCTGCTTGGGCCTGGCCTGAGCCCTGAGGGGGGGTGGGCTTGGTCCTGGGGCCCGCTGGTGCATTCACATTTCCATGTGCTCCCCTGTGGTTTTAAGGGGTGAGAAAGTTTGCAGACTGATTTCACTGGAGATCTTGCTGATGTGCTGATCACATGTTCCCACAGGGCGGTGGGGAAGACAGGGCTCCAGCTCCTACCGGATGGACTCCGGGTACAGCCGTTCTGGTCAGGGACAGCCGTGGAGAGACCAGGGACCAGGTAAGACGGCCATGGGCTCCCGCCACCTGCCCACTCAGCACTGCCTTAGCCTGTTTCTGTTGAAAACCGCCCTCCTCCGTTTCAGAAATAGGCTGTGTGTTTACAAGTAGGTAAACAGATACATGTGTTGATATGTCCAGTTTTCATTGGTTATCGAGACAATTTCCAGGCTTGAGGCTCAAGACCCAATTCTTGTAATTTACTCAGTGGAAGGCTCTCATGGAAGGTACGTGCTTATGAAAAAAAAGCACAAATGACAGGGTTTTACCAGCACTAGCGTTCGAATGGTAGCACTTTGATACTTTCCATGGCCTGGATTATATACAGAAGGGGTTTACGGTGTGATGTAGAAAATAAACCTAACCTTTATTTCTTACATAGGTGACACAAACATCTGTTTTAATGGAGGTATTATGCTGGGTTTTATACATAATAATCTGCATTTTAAATACATAGAGAACCTCACATCGGTATTTAAACTCAAATTCCTTATAGTTTTGAGAGCCAAACTTCATAGACTTTGAAATTACCTAAAATTTATAATGTTATCCTTTCAAATACAAACACTATTTTATTTTTTTACTTTTACAACCTTTAAAATGCACAGAAACTTTACAAGTTACTCACATTATTATCTAAAACACAGCAAGCCTTCAGCACAGCCCGGCTGACTCTGGGTCTGTGGGCAGCCGTGGCCCTCGCGTGTGTCGTGGCAAGAGTCTGTGGGCAGACCGTGGCCCTCGCGTGTGCCGTGGCAGGAGTCTGTGGGCAGACCGTGGCCCTCACGTGTGTCGTGGCAGGAGTCTGTGGGCAACACGGCTACTGGAGAGCTGAGCCCTCCCGTCCCGATGCCACATGTCTGACAAGTACAGGAGTCCACCCCACTGTTCAGTGTGGAACAGTGATGAATATTTTTGAAATGCCCATCCCTGGGAGAGTGAGAAAAGCTCCATTTATGTAAATTTAGATTTATATTTGCTTTAGATGTTTCCTTGAACCAGCCTAACCTACAGCAATTTTACCAAATCCTGCCACTCACACCTGGGGCTTCCATGTGGCCTGACGGGACAGGCTCAGGGCGTCCCACCCTCCTCGGGTCTGGCACAGCGTCCACATGAGGCCCACGTCCGCTGGTGCAGTCCCTGAGAGCTACCGGAAGACCATTTCCCACTTTTCCAAGCACATTAGGATTGCTTCTCGTTTAGAAGCTGCTGTCGTTTACTGGACAAAACCACAGATGGGGACCCTGGAAATGATGAAACATTTATAAACTTGCCTAGAACCAGATAGCAAAGCCCGGGCTGTGGGCCACGGCCTCTGCCTCGCTCAGGCGTGGCCTGCTGGTGCCATCCCCGGCATGGTGTCCCCCTTCTCTGCTCTGCGTGGGTGGCAAGCCTGCGCCTGTGCAGCCCGGAGGTACCTGTGTGCAGAGGACGCAGGGCACCGAGGTCCCCTAGCCACGCACACAGGCTGGCATGCCCCAGCTGTCGGCTCTGCCCGTCTGGCTGGCGGCAGGGGCTCAGGCTGCTCTTGCAGAGGGCGGGTTCGGGCTCCTCATCTTTGAGGACGGCAGTCCCACCTCAGTGGACTAGCTGAGGGTGTCCCCAGGAGAAAGAGGCGCGAGCACAGATGGGGTCAGGCCTGAACAGGTGGAGCTTCCTTTTCCCTCCTCGTCCTCTCCGCTCTGAGACCCCCACAAGACAGTGTTTAAGCCAAGACCTGATGGGAGGGAGAGCAGCGCCAGAGAGTGGCCGTGAGGACACTGGGCAGAGCCCGCAGGGCTATCGTGCGGCCTTGCCTGCGGGCAGCGGCCCTGGCAGGACTCTGGGGCAGGAGTCAGACTCTGGGTGGGCAGATGTTTCGTCAGCCAGATGCTGCCAGCGCGCGCACAGCCCATCTGCACAGGTGGGACGTGGGTGCCAGTCGCGTATGAAATGCAGGTGCTGACAGGCCAGGTGCGAGGCCACTGGGGTGGGCAGGCTTCCGGCCCTGGCTGTCCACCCTCCCTGGATGCATGCACGGCCTGGCCCTGGTGCCGGTCCAGCAGAGCAGGCGGGAGAGCAGGGGGGAACTGGCCTCCCGCAGGCTGCCTGGCTGGGCAGAGCACGCCGTTGTGCCCAGTATCCACGGAGAAGGGCTGCTCCACCCCAGCCCCATCGTGTGAGCTCTGCCTACATCCAGCCTGTGGGGTAAGGGAGGGACCCTGCGTGTGGGTGGCCCCTGGGTGGCAAGAGCTCCAACACCAGGTGGCGGATGGCGAGGCTGTGAGTTCTGCGGGTGGGACTCTGAGGGTGCAGGTCCCCACCCTCTTGTGGAGGCAGGCGCTGGGTGGGTAGCGCACCTGCATGCTTTGGGGGCGTCGGTCCCCACCGCCGGCGTGTCACTGTGGACGCCCGTCAGTCCTCTCCCGTCACTCGTTTCCAGCCAGGAACGCTGTGGCTCTGTTTCCTCGTGGTGGGTGAGACCAGTGAACAGCAGCACTCGAGTCAGAGCGGTGGCATCTGCGTGCCTGTCCCATGGGGCGACGCCTCCCTCGGGGCCAGCGCTCGGGCGGAGGCGTTGTCGGCACTGCAGCCTCATGCCGGAGCGTCTCAGCGCTGTGTCTAGCGTTTCTCTCGATGTTCATGCCGAATGGTTTTGTTTAAATAATTCTGTTGAAAAGAAAAACGTCATTTACACCTCAGTACAGCTGTTTTTTGTCCATTACAAAGAGCAGCCAAGCACACCGCAGCCTGCCAGCGTGGCCTGCTGCGCGTGGTCGGGAGCTCCGCGCCTGCTGCCGCGGCCACCAGACTGCAGGAGGGATGCGTGGTGCCGCCTTGCCCCTTTCTGAGTGCGCCGGCGGAGATCACAGGGCGTGTGGATCAGACAAGGAGAAACCCCCCCTCGCCCTGGTAGGAAACAGTTAGGGTTCTTCACGTTCTGTTGGAGAATGTCAACACTGTCCAGAAATCTCTCCTCCTCGCAAATTAACGTGACAGAGCGGCCTTGCTTGGGGCAGAGGAGGAGCCGTCCTAGCGGTCACCACAGCAGAGCACTCGGCCGTCCCGCCGTACTGACGGCCTTGCCGGGCGCCCGGCCACCTGTGTGGCGCTCGCCAGAGCGGCAGGCCGAGGTGCCGCGGAGGGGTCTCCACAGGGCGACAGGGCACAGAGGCAGCAGCCTCCCACTGGGCCTGGCCATCGGTCCTGGAGAAGAACGGCTCTAGGGTGGGGGTGCCAGAGGCCAGGGTCCCTCTGCTGGGGTGCAGGTTCCAGGAGGGGGTCGGCTGGGGGGCGGCCAGAGGCCGGGGCGCCAGCGCAGCCGTGCCCTTCCAGGAGAGCTTGGTTCCTGTGCCTTTCTGCTTGTGGTGCGTGCTGCTGGTAGGACAGGACACACCCAGGCTGGGCACCCAACATGCTTCGCAGTCCAGCACTCCTTGCACACTGACAGGATGCTCAAAGGAGACGCTCATTGGAGCATTTCAGATTTCAGATTTTTTGATTAGGGATGCTGAACCAGTAAGGACAATACAAATATTCCAAAATTTGAAAAGACCCCAAATCCACACCACTTCTGGCCCCGCGCGTTTCAGGCTCAGGACACTCAGCCCGTGGTCAGCCCGTGGGCTCTGCGGGTTGGGGCACATCGCCCCAGCCCTTGCCCACCGCGCCAGTGCTCACCACAAGGGCCTCGCGTGACTCGCTCTTCTCTGCTGACACTGTGTCCGCCCCGGGACTCAGTCCTCCCAGAACTCTGGTCCCCCACACACCTTCCTGCCCGTGTTCTCATGCGATGCCGTGTCCCCACCACAGGCCCTGGCGCGGTCCGTGACCTGCCGCGGTCCGTGACCTGCCGCGTGGAGGCTGAGGACTGGGGACTCCTCGCACGCATCACCTATTACGTTCCTGTGGGTTCTGAAGGGCCCCTGGGTGGCCCCCCCTGCACTCGGTGTGACGCCAGCTTTCTGTAGTGCGTAAATCAGGACATTCACCTGTACCCACCACTCGGCCCACACGTCATCTCTGACATGTGTTTCTCTAGGACGCCATTTATGGATGTCAGTAAAAAGCCAGGCGACCAAAGTGGAGGTGCAGGTCCTGACCCAGAAAGGCGCAGGGGGCGGCGTGGGCTGTGGCCGTTGCAGGAGCCGGGCCCACTGACCCTGTCCCGCGAGGGTGAGCCTGCGGCAGCTGAGCCTGAGTGGCGCAGTCTCCAGGCCACGTGGTGCGCACCCTTGTGTAAGGTGGCCCTTCTTACTGGATTTCAGGACCTCGTCGGAACTCTCGCTCCTCAGACTGGGCACCAGGCTCGGGGGAGCATGTTGTACCTCTTCTGTTCTGGTCACTGAGAAGCAGTAAAACCGTAATGACCTCAACAGCTAGAGCCTAAAGACAGTAAAGGCTGGCCCTACTTTGATAAATTGGTCTTGGAAGAAGGCTGCCACTGTGTTGGAGCGGGACCGCATCACGCAGTGGCGGTGCGTGTGCACGAGTGGGCTGGAAATGCCCCAGCGACCCTGAGATGTTAAATTCGGAGTCAGTATCAGATTCGAGAGTTTAGCCGTGAGAGTGAGGAATTAAAAGGCTCTTGCAAGACAGCACAAGCAAGGATGTTACGCTGCATTTGCACTTTGCCTGACATGGAGAAATGTTCACAAAATGTTGCTGTGGCACAAGCATGTTTTCTAATTTCAGATATTTAGTGTGAAGTATGGGTCATACACACACACACACACACACACACGGAGTCAGGCTTTTGTTGGGACTGCAGTGTGTTTTTCACATCAGGTAACCCACTTTTTTAGTTTTAATTACTGTGATTGAATTTGGGGCAGCACATTTTTTGCTGAGTCTTGCCTACCTTGAACTCCTGTGTTGGTATTTCTTAGACATATTAACATAGTTCCAGTAGAAAGTTGTCACTATTTCCAGGACAGAATTAATCGGCAAATTTTTTTGCGTTAGTAAAAAAAACTTAAAGATGCCTCATAAATGCGAGCATTCTGTTAATACCAAAAGTGGGCAAGTTTCTAGAGCCTGGCCTGGCCCCCTTGGTGGTCAGCTTCAAAGCCGCCCTGAGAACAAAGGCAGCAAGAGTGAGAACTTTTAACCTCATCCCTGCTGTTGCTCAGCCCAGCTGTTAAGAAACGATGTGTTAAATTCCACATTCAGTAGCTACAAATGTGCCTGTGCTTTCTCAGACTGTCACTTCTCATGGTAATTCTGTGGGAGCCTGTTGTAAAACCACCTCTGCTCATCTGTGATAACAAGCGTCTGGGAATCGCTGTGGCTGCAACCAGCCTCTGCCAGTGCCCAGGAGGCCAGAGGAGAGGCACAGAGGTCCCCATTCCCAACACGTTAAACGTGTGTACTTCTGTGTGCCAGGAGAAAACTAAGAGCGGGGAATATTTTGAAGACAAGTGTTATATTTAGTTGTGAAAAACTGTTACCTTTTTTACTGTTAGTTGGGGGGTTCTGCTCTGAATCTCTTCCCAAGATCCCCTGTGTATCAGAAAGTTGCCATCATGCCCCAGGCCAGGCCAGGGCAGCTCTGGGCCTGGCCGAAGAGCCACACGTGGTCTCTGCACTTGGCAAAATGTCCACTGTGCCCCAGCTGCACCTGGGCCTCTGTTTCCAGAAGTCGTCAGCCGTGGTCAACATCTGGGTGTCGTGCAGATGGCAGGGCCGTTTTGAGAGGAACGACTCTGACACTGTGTCCTCTACCAACCTCCTAATTAATTGCTTCCACTTTAACGGCGTAATTATAGAACAAAATTTTAATGACGCGTGGCCACAGCTGAAAAGAGAATAAAGTTCTGTCCTCCAGCTACCGCTCAGCATGCTGCTCCTGTGTGTGCACTTAGAAATGTGCAGTGTTTTTGTTGTTTGTGTGTTTAGAGAAATTTAATTCTAAGTCTGGTTTTCATATCTATTTGGTGTAGGACACAGACCATATGAGCATGACCAGTGGAGAAGATACTAATCGTCCTCCAGGTAACTTCTTCACCTGCATCTTGAGAAGAAATTAATAAAACATCTATCTTTTATAACCTAAATCTTCCATATCAATTTCCAAACTTTAGACAGAATTCAGGTGGTAAATACTACTAGCCTGGTACAGAGTTAACTTGGTTTCAAGATCAGTTTTCCTCCAGAAAGTGTGGTGAGAAAAATACACAGGTCTGGACCTGCAGCCCTGCCCCTGCCCTCGGCAGAGTCCCCAGGAGATGCTGCTCCAGAGAGGGCAGCTGTGGGGGCCAGGCCTGCTCAGAGAGAGGGAAGGACGCGCAGGCCAGCGCTCCTCCCACCCCTCGTGAAAAGCTGCTGTCGGCTTGTTTCCCGAGGGCGAGCCCCACTCCATGGCCCAGAACTGCCGTTGTCAGCGCCTCCTGCATTGAATTCCAGTCTTTGCATCCGTGTGGATGAGGCATAGTCGCTTTCTTTTCTCAATAAATTGCAACCTTACTGTACCCTAACACTAGACAGTGAATATTGAATAGTCCTTTGGAAACCTGGTATCCGATGGCTACACAGGAGTCCCCCTTATCTGTGGGGGACACTTCCCAGGCCCCCCAGGGGATGCTTAAACCACGGACAGCACCAAACCCTTGCACACCGTACTGATTTCCTGCATGTATATACAATACAGTTTAATGTGTAAATTAGGCACAGTACGAGTGTAACACTAGACATGGAACGGTCCTCACCCTTCCTCCTGCATCTGTTGCCTGGTCACTGAGCTGGCTGGTGGCGTCTGCGGCCTGAACGTGCTGGACAAAGGGATGGTCACGTCCTGCGTGGAACAGAGCAGATGGAGAGATTTCAATGACTGAAAGTGGCATGCAATTTAAAACTCAAATTGTTTATTTCTGGGATTTTCTATTTAACATTTTCAGACCTCAGTTGACTGTGGGTGACTGAAGCTGTGGATAAGGGGTCTGCTGAGTAATATATCAGAAATTGTTTTCTAGTTAGAAATTCTAATCAAAAGTAAAGTCTCCAGCTATTTCTTCCCTTGGTCCCCAGAAGTGTTTCAACAGAAAAAGAAGAAACTGATTTCTCACCTTCCTGGTGGGGGAGTTACTTCTGCCGTGGGGCTCTGCGGGAGGCACGGCACAGGGCACCTGGACTCCAGGTCCGTTTCCCATGTCGTCCTGCTCGGTTCGTCTGGCCAGACCCTGGCTCATGCCTGGGCGCAGTAACCTGGGCTGGTCCGTGGTGCAGTTGGACAGGAAGCCTGTGTGCAGGACGTGTTGAAAGGGAGGTGATCACAGCTGCCAAGAAGCCTCGTTTATGATGCCGCTAATAAATGGCACAGTGTTCTCTGAGCATGGAAGGGCTTTTTTGAGAAACATTTAAAATGAATCCAATTTCAGAGTAATCCTTTTCATGGAAGAATTTTCAGATAACACAAGAATTGACTTTTTAAGCCCAGAATTGTGCTGAGCTCTAACTGTGGGGGAAAGAACAGCCAGGGACCTGACCCCGGGAAGCGTTCTAGAGTAGGAGTTGGAAGACAGCCCTCTGCTGGGTGGCGTCTTCTCCAAACCTGGAACCCCCACCTGTGTAACAAGCCCCTGATCATAGTCACAAACCCACTCGTCTGTCTGCACTTGGTGAATCACCCTGACCAGCAGCTCAAGTGTACGTAGCTCCAGGTATCTAAAACCTTGTCTAGTTTCGACTAAAAGGACACAGTCTCCAGGTATTTATTCATCTGCATTTCTTAGATTTGAGGTACCCTGGCCACATTTCCAGTTCCTCCATAAGGATATTTGCACATCGAGTCATTTTTCATGCAAGCCTTACATAACCCACACTTTTTCTGTGGTTTGGAAATAGGAAAACTTTCAAAAGTGGAATTAAAAAATCTATCTAGATATTAACTTTCTAATCCTTTTCATCTATGCTCATTTGAAACCACTGCTGCTTCTATAAGATATATTTGCTACTTGTTTGTGTAACTTTGAAATAAATTTCTCATTCCTTAGACTTAGTTCTAGGAAAATTCGTGTGTCTCTTTATAATATCCAATTTATCAATAAAATACTTGTGTTCAGTTGACAAGCTTAAGTAAGCCATTGAGTTGGTATAATCTGTATTGCATTTGAACAGCCAGAGCAGTGATTTTTTTGTGACCTCAATATTGTTATAAAAGTTATCTCTGACCTTAATATTGTTATATGTTATCTCTGAGGTCAAGTCTTCTGATGAAATTTCCATGTATCTATTTAAAAGTTAAAATAAAGCAACATATATTAATACAATTCACATTTGAATATTCCAGACATGTCAACATCCAGTATATTGAGCTCTTTGTGACAACATCAAAGAAGACAAAGGGAAGAGAAGCCTGGGATGTCTTTGCTGTAGGTTTATAAAACAGCAGGTGCTGGTGGAGATTGCAAGCTACTTTTCATTTTCCGTATTTTTGTGTTTGAAAAACTTTTTATAGTCAGAAAAAAATGCAGGGGGACCCAGAGGTTAAAAAAAGTTTATCTAACATTCTACTGGGCAGAATTCCTTACTGGCCACGCACACAGCACACAGGGTTCGACCTGCCTGCCCATGTGCGTTGACAGGAGCAGAGCTGCCTGTCCAGAAGACTCCTGTGGCTGGTGCTGCCAAATCACCGTCGGAAACTGCGGCCCTGTCCAGCCCACCCACACTGTGCGGAGATCCTTTGGTCTTAATTTTTACCCAGCTGTGATCAGAAACAGGTATTTGAGTGACTAAGCTTGCATTTTTTTCTGAATCTTAGGTTTTTTCCCCCACACACATTTCTAGACCATTTGTATTTCTTTCTGTAAATTATTCACATCCTTGACCAAATTTTTCTTGTAATTTCTTAGTGTTGATTTGTAGGGTCCCTTCATATATGGCAGACATCATACCTTTGGTGATCATATATGTGACAAATCACTTGTCCCCATTCCTTTCCCTGGCTCCCTTGTGAGGCTGTCACGCGACATCTCCATTTCCCAGAGCCCTCACGTCCAGTCTGTCGGGGAGGACGAGCCTGCCCAGATGTCTCCCTGCCACCGTGCGGCCTCCATTGGGACGAGCCTGCCCAGACGTCTCCCTGCCACCGTGTGGCCTCCATTCACGACTTTTGAAACTCCACCACACCGACCTTCACCCTCTTGTCCCGACAGAAACCCGGGGTGCGCCCTGTACCCGTGCACGTTCTTCTGTTTCCAGAGGGCTGTGGTTGCTGTGGCCGGGGGGTTTCACATCAGCACACACGTTTATTGTGCTCACAGAGCGGGGAGCCGGTGCAGCGGCCCAGCTCGTCCTGCTCCGCCACATCTGGGCCTCAGCCGGGGGACCCGAAGTCGACGAAGGCTCACTCACGTCTAGCTGGTGCTGGCCCTTGGCTGGGTGCCTCAGTTTCTCTCCACATGATCTCCCCTTGGTCCACATGCTGGTTTGGGCTTCTTCTCAGCATGGTAACTGGGTTCTGAACACGAGCATGCCCACAGGTAAAGAGCCAGCCAGGATCAGGACCAGAACGTCACTTGTTACAGCCCAGCCTCAAGAGTCACACCTCTGCTGCCACACTCTGCTCATCGGGGCAGCCAAAAAAGCCTGTCTGAGTTCAGGTGGAGATGAAGTAGACACTTTCTCTGGGTGGGGAAGGACAGGATGCCCAGAGATCCCGTGAGACCGGAAGTGTTGTGATCTCCCCATCTGTAAAACCAGCAGACACCGAATCTCTTCCTCCAGACCTGCCCTACCACTCCTCCCTGCGGTCCTCGTTCCTGGCTGTCACTCTTCCCGGTTATGACTCTCGTAGCAGTGTCTGGTGACCTCGGCATGCTATAGCTTCCCCTGCCAGAGGCCTTGTTCTTCATCTTGGCCTCATCGTTACCAGTGACTATTTCCAGAGCCAGACAGTCTCGCCACACAGCTTGTGCTCTGGAACTTGGCTCTGGCCAGGCGTCACCCAGCCTGCTGGGCCAGCACTCTGCAGCTCAGTCCCTCTGTGGTCCTCACCACTTACTGCTGTGGTTCATAACTTTCTTGCATATGCTGCTCTGCCCCTGTCACGTTACCGTGTCTATGTGGGAAAACCCCACACCCAGGTTAAAACCCCACACCCAGGTTAAAACCCAGCCATTTGCATTTTGAACGTGGATAGAGAAAGCTCTGCAGTCACCCTTAGAGGCCCAGCTTCAATCCAGTGAGTCCCGGGACTGCTCAGCCGTACTCTGCTCTCCCACCCCCAGATGCCCATTTCATGCTCCCCTCTCCGCTCGATCTTGCAGCTCTTTTCCTGTCCTCAGCTACATGTGAGAACTTCACTTTCTGTAAGTTCTTTCAGCCACATTTGCTCACCTTCATCTGCATCATCACATCAGACTTCAGCAACAGATACCAAGGGAAATAGACAAATCCGCAACAAAGGGAACGTCCACTTTTTACCTTCACACCTGGTAAGCTGACAGTGTTGGGCTAAGGCCGCCCCCCAGCTGTGGGCACGGGCCCCTCCCCTGCTCAGCCCCAGCCCGAGTCAGCAGCTGCACCATCTTTCTTCTTTCTAGCAAAATAGTGTTGAGCCAGAATCCTATGTGTGGTCAGTCAAATTAGCATTCTAGACTAAGGAAAAATTAACAGATATTCAGGAATCACAAAATTTTGACCTGTGGATCCTTTCCAAGAGAAAATGGATGTGCTCAAGCAAAATGAACACTCCATCTAGCAGGAATGCTTGGGCTATGAGAAGCAATGCTGCACAAAGTTAGTAAAATGTATAATTATTGCTAAGCAATTAACCATAAAGGAAATAGGCAAAAATAGACTAAAATCTTGTGTTACAAGGAAAGTGATGAGTTGAGAGAATGAGATGAAAAGACATCAAGTTTTTTGTCTTAGGACATAGATTTTTATTAAATCTACATATTTTTTACAAAAATATAAGCTTAAGTATGTGTGCTACAGTGTAGCATACATGCTAGAAGAAAAAGGAGAGTCCTGTCATAGTCTATGTACCTGGCATTTTAAGTCAAAATTATAAGCAAAATGGCCGGGAGCCTGTAATCCTAGGACTCTGGGAGGCTGAGGTGGCGGATCGCTCAAGGTCAGGAGTTCGAAACTAGCCTGAGCAAGAGTGAGACCCCTTCTGTACTAAAAATAGCAAGAAATTAATTGACCAACTAAAAATATATATACAAAAAAAATCAGTCAGGCTTGGTGGCACATGCCTGTAGTCCCAGCTACTCCAAAGGCTGAGGCAGAAGGATTGCCTGAGCCCAGGCTTTGGAGGTTGCTGTGAGCTAGGCTGACGCCACGGCACTCTAGCCCAGGCAACAGAGTGAGACTCTGACTTTAAAAAAAAAAAAAAATCATAAGCGAAATACAAGGATAAATAGACCCAATAATACAATATTTAAATGTGTATTTAACTCACGTAGACCAAAAGTCATAAACAAGGTGATAAAAACCTTGTTCTAATAGAAATATACTGAAAAAAATATGTACCTATTTATGTCCTTTTCAAACACACAGGGACAGGTCACAAAACCTAACAGGTGTTAGCCCCAAAGTAAACCTCAATCAAAATACTGAAAAGCCAATTTACTGAAATCACACGAGCCGTATTTTCTGCTCATAAGAAAATAGCATTAGAAATCAACAAGAGCATAAAAAGCAAAAATCTTTCCAGTTAGAAATTCACCCACCATTCTAAAATATTGAGATCAAAACCAAAATTACTTTTAGAAATAATAAAAGTACCATGTAAATAAAAAAATTTACATAAGGGAAGTGATGTCAAAGCAGAGCAAGAAACACCAGGAATCAATCCACATTCCCGTCTAGATGAAGACTGCACTTGCAGAAACCGTCTGAAGTAACTATTAATATTTTAGAACTCGGGTCTACTTGAAGTCTTACGGCTTCTACAGGAAAGCTTGGCAGGGGTTGTGGTTGGTTTCCACTAGTTTCAGATGCACGGCCCCAGGCCCATGGCAGGCAGCCGTGCACAGTTCCCAGTGCAGCTTGCAGGAGCCCGGATGGGCATAAGGACCTTGTCTTCCAGCGTCAGGGCTGGGTTGCAGTTGCTCCTTTTGGTCCTGCGTTCAGGCAGAGGCTGGCCACAACTGCCCTAACCCATACCAGCTACAGAGACTTCCTCAGGGTTACAGGAGCAACACCGGCGGGTTTTTATTTGCTTATGCTCTTCCAGGACCCAGACATTTAGGGATCAGGACGTTCAAAGGCAACCAAGTGTAACGGGAAATTTAGGAAGCCACCATGCATGGCCAGGGAAAGAGACTGCCTCAGAAAAGAGCTGGATCTTTCGCTCAAGCTGATCCCCAGCACCATTCAACAATCAAAAGCAAACCCCAGAGGAAGAAGAAAATAGGATTTTCAAAAGTACATTATAAGATTCAGGTGTGTAGTTCTCAACAAAAACATTATAAGGCAAACAAAATATATGGACAGAAATTGTCCCTGAAGAAGCCCAGACATCAGACTTACTAGACAAGACTTTAAAACAGCCATCCCAAAGGTGCTCAGAGAGCTGAAGGAAGATGTCGGCAAAGTCCATTGAACAATGTATGAACCAAACGAGAATATCTCAGAGAAATTATTAAAAAAAAAAAATTCTGGAAGTGAGAAGTTTAATGACTGAAGTGAAAAATTCACTAAAGGAATCCAAAAGAGCTGAGCAGGCAGAGAAACAATCGGCAAACTTGGAGATAAAACAAAGTTAATGAGCCTGAGAAACAGAAAGAATGAACAAAAGCAAACAGAGCTTAGGGACCCGTGAGACACCATGAGGTGGACCAGCACACACATTGTAAGAAACTTAGAGGGAGAGAGAAAGAAGAATAAAGAAATAATTCTGAAAACTTCCCAAATTTGATAAGAGACATGAATCCTCCAATCCAACAAACTGGACAGGCTTCAAGTAGGATAAACTTGGAAGAGACCTGCACTGAGACACACCATGAAACTGTTGAGAGCCAGAGACAACCTTGAAAGCAGCAAAAGTGGCTTTTTAGATACAAGGGACTCTCAGTAGAATTATTGAGAATGTCTTATCAGAAACCTTGGAGGACAGAATACAGTAAAGGTTAGTATATTTAAAATGTTGAAAGAAACTGTCAACTGACAATTCTCTATGTGGCAAAAGTATCCTTCAAAAATGAGGGTGAATCACGAGAATGGAAAAACAAGCACCACATGTACTCACCACTAAATTGGCACTAACTGATCAACACGTGTGTACACATATGAACGTGACATCGCGTGTCGGGCA